CATTAGGATGCAAGAAATCTAAAGATATCGAATTAGTAATGGCAGTGAGGCATTTACCCAAGGTGGTTATACACGTTAGAAGGTGAAAGTCTATGATAGTTGTACCTGTATTTGAGTTTATGGGCCATGCTGAGGGTTAGGTAAATGTTTGTAGATAAATTATATGAACCCCAGTGGTTAGGGTGAAGATGGTCCTGGTAAAAAAAAAAGCTCCAAGAAGTTACGCAAGGACATAAAATTGTCCACAAAGGGAATGTGTCCGTTCCTGCTGTATAAAAGTTGGCAGAGACCGCTGAACTTCACACCACCAAAACTGGAGAAGAATCAAAATGATCATAGATCCATAGAACTTTAGCTCAAATGGCATAATATTTCTTGCGACTGGCAAACCTGAAGTTTTAAAAATGTGTTTTTTTCACTCTGTTTTAGAACAAATCCCTAACACTCTGTTTTGTTTTGTTTGTATTAATGTCAACAGCAACAGCTCAATACTGAGCTGCTCTCATGCAGACTCTTACGATCGCCCCAATGCCCCACACAAAATGGTAAATATGACATGTCTTCAGTGCAAGCCCCAAAATAAATACATTAATGCATTTCATGCAGCCGTGACTTACTTTGTATGTTGTTTTTCTTTTCTATTTTTTTTAAAGCTACAGATTTTAATACTTGTAACTGTGGGGTGATGGTCGAACAACTGAAAGCTAGGTTTCAGCTTGTGAGTTCCAACTTCACCCAGTCAGTGCAAGCCATGAAGATGGAAATGGAGGAGATTGCCAAAGAAAGGGACAACCTCAACTTGGAGACTATCAAGCTGAGGAGGGATATCGCCACAAAAGAAAAGCAGCTGCAGATCTACGAGAAAACATCCAAAGATGAGTTTTCCCAGTCCTTGGGTTCGGTCTACAATGTTTCCAGGGCTTTTCTGCACAAGATCGATTCCCTCTTCCCTGCACACATCGCCTTCCAGCTCACCTGTCCGAAACAGAGGGAACACCTGGAACAGATCCGCTCCAACTGCACCAACCTGTCCAGAGAGGTGGAAGACAAGCTCCAGCGTTACATGAATACCGTGGGAAATCATGTGGCAGGCATCCAGCATGAGAACATCCGCTTGAAGGCTGAAAACTGGCGATTCGCTGAAGACTACCGCTCGTGCAGCCAGGAGCGCGCAGGCATGGTTGAGCAACACAAACAGAACCTAGAAAAACTTCAGCAGAAGCACGATCAGGACCAGGAGAGACTCCTGAGGGAAAAGAAGAGGCTAAGCGGAGAGAAAGAGGTCTTAGAAAGCACCGTCAATTATAAAACTAAAGAGATTGAGAGCCTTATGCAGCAAATCGAAATTCTCAACAAGTCCAAGGTAAGAAAGAACACTCAAGACTGATCGATATGCTACACAAGCCCCGCTTTTTGAGCTTTTTTGTGTTCTTAAATATCCAAGTTATATAAAAACTTGGATATTTCAGGAAAAAAACCCACTTAGTCATCAAAAACCTAATTTAATTTTCAACTGAGTCCTTCATCCTTCCAAAGCTTTTCTCAGGGGAATTCAATGACAACTGCAGACAGAGATTCGTGCTATTATGAAAAGTGATCCCATGCAATTTGTCTGTGTCTGTATATTTTGTTGTAGATTTTCCTATAAAACTATTGATAAGTGCAATGATCTGCATTTATTGATACAGCAACTAGCTGATTTTGTGCAAAAACGTTAGCACTGCTGTTAATGACAGCCCCTGCAGTACAGAGCAAGTGCAGGAATGCTAACATAGAAAAAAGCCCATGCCTCACCTCTTTGAGATAATGAGGTGTTATATAAGGTGGATGAGATCAAAGCAGCATGACTGGTTGTTGGAAATGATCCAGCCTCAACTCCAGCAAGTGCAGAAGATGAGGGGGGAGCAGGGTATTGTCTGCCAGTAAAAAACTAGAGGGCAAAGAGGTGAAAGCAGGAAAATGTTTCTGCCTTTCGTGTTAAGTGTCTGCTATTGTCTGAGGAGAAAATATGAACCTAGATGTGAAGCTTAGTGCAGTTTTGTGATTACTGAGGAAAAATTGAGTTTTTTCTTAAAGCAGAACATGATTTCATTGTTTTGATATTTTCTCTTGATTCACATGTTTTGTTGTGTTATACATGAATGAAAATTGAAGGCTCTATTTTCTCTCATGTTAAAACTGACCGTTTTTTTTATTTTTCAGACAGGGTTTGGATATACTGGAGCCCTGGCCCTTCAGCCAGGCACACCAGTACAGAATCGCTGGGCTGCCGGCTCTAATTCTCCAAGCTCTACCAGTTTCGGTCAGCAGGGTAAGACAGGGTCAACTGGACTGTTAGGCCAAGGTTCTAGCTCACTTGGATCATTCAATAAACCTGCATCAACTCTACTGGGTGCAACTGGAGCAAGCTCCTCAAATACACCCTTGTCCACTGGGTCAAGAGTCAGCTCTCCTGGGTCAGGACTTAACAATCCCAGTCTTAGCTCAGGTGGAATAGGCTCAAATAACCCATTATTGAGTGGGAGAGGCTCTTCTTCCATCGGGTCTTCCTCTGGGTCATCAGTGTCTACTCCTAACCTTAGCTCAAATTCGTTTTCCTTGAATAAGCAAACATCAAATACAAGAAGCTCTGGCTTAGGTTTAGGATTAGGTTCATCCTCCTCCTCTTCCTCCTCCTCCTCCTCATCATCATCATCATCAACAAGTAAAACTGCCTTTGGGCTTAATTGGTTTGGGAGCAGTAACTCAGGTCAAAGTAAAACACCAAGCATACCAGGGAAAGGAACGTCAAGTGGTACCAGTACTGGAGCTGGATCGCCATTTGGTGCAGGAAAACCCAATGGAATGACAGGTACACCCTTTGAGCATAAATAAATACATTTATTTTACTCTTATTTATTATTCTCACTGTCAAACATCTACATTTATATGATTAATAACTCATGGCGAGGTCATGATAAATCACTATTTTCTTATGTTTTAACAAATAGGCAACATCGCTCAGCACATACAAAATCTACAACGCCTGATCAACCCGCCTGGCCCACAGTAAGTATTGTATTTATTCTCTGAGGATTATGAGTTATTGCAAGTGTTGTAAGTTGCTGATTGCTGAGTCCTCCTACATGACCAGGAGGTGAGCAACCAAGATGGCACACGGGTTCATCTTGAGCCCTGAAAGTTCTTACCGATGTTGCTAAGTGAACGCCTAGCAACAGGCTAAAATGACCTCATCTAAGCATTTCTCCAGCTATCTATCTGCGTCTGCATCCACAAAAGCTGAATGGCACATGATATATTATTGCATCATCATGTTGCCTAGCAACCATGTAGAAATAGGTTAAAATGACCCTTTTTATGCATTTATAAACATTATAAAAGCATTGCATCATTTTCCTTTCACGGTCAACAGCACAACCAGGCCAAATAATAGTGTAGAATGGGCATGTACTAGTATTGTTATTATACTAATGTTCAAAAGGTTGGCATCAGTAAGAAAAGTGCAGGTTCTTAAAGAAAGGCGCAGGGCAATAAAATATGACACTAAATGTTGTAAATGACCATTATTAATGCAGGATTATTTTTAAAAAAATAGTTAAAATCACCATCAGCCATCACTTATGTTTTACTTAATGCTGAAAAGTGTGCTGATTAAAGAAGCAATGACTTTGACTTGTTGAATGTCAGCCTTTTGGGTTTGATTATAGAATCATAAAGACATACAACAGGGTATAATACTCTGTTCACAAACCTGCACAGTCTAGCTCTTACTAAATTAAGTTGCCAGCTGAAGACCTGCAAGTCACTCAAACTAGAAACACTAGTGGGTTATTTGTGCACCAGATAAAATTGAAGAAGCAATGCAATTGCTTATGTACGTGAATGAGGCAACAGCCTGTGTGGGTTTAAGTCTGCTAAAATAGCCAAGGTCGAGCATTTTTTAAGCAAATGTGCTGCTTCTTTAATCAGCATGACAGATTTTAGCCTCGGCTAATGTGATTAATTGGCCTTTTTAGACAAACCAGTTTTTTTTTAGGTAACGCAATGTGCGATGGAACACCTTACCAAAAAAATTTGGATTTTGGTAAGCAGTGGAGTGAATACATAAATGTTTTAAAATAGGTTTATAGGTTATTTCTAAATAGTTTATATCAAAATTTTCTAGAAGACCCTTGTGTATTACACAGATTATCACCAAAGTTATCCTTTAACAAAATGTTGCAGGTTTGATGCACTTCCACTTTATATACAAATACCAAATTTTTGTCTTTCTTTCTTTCTTTCTTTCTTTCTTTCTTTCTTTCTTTCTTTCTTTCTTTCAACAGGGAGCAACAAGAAGTCTCCAGAATGCTGGGTTAACCGTATCATTTTTATAATCTGTTGTTATCTGTTACACATGGCTTCTCATATTGAGTTCTCACATTGTCTATACATAAACGTACTGTATAATACGCTCTGCTTACGACAGGTAATGTTTCAGTATGCATGTATGAAATCCATTCCAATAACTTGCACTTTTACATTTAAAATGTGAAGCTTTGTCATGTGTGTATGAATAATGGCATCTAGTATTTAGTATATAGTATTTTTACACTGTAAATACAAAGATAAAAATAAAGGTTTTGTTTAAGCCTAAGTATGTAAACTGTGCCTCTAGTCTCCATTTCTCTGTCTCCTTGTCTTGTTCTTTATAAACAAAGCTATTTAAAATATTATCCCATTCAGATCCGGAAAGAACTGTTTGTTTCTGTGTGCGTCACCTATTGTGTAACTAATTGTCTGCAGCTGACTCCCAAGCCCCTCCTGTGACAGCTTATTGGCAACACGGTTTAATCCTTCCAACATGTTTATGTTTACCTGCCAACTTGTTAGTATGGAGGTAGAGAAAAATGGTAGGAATCTTGTGACAAGCACTTAAAAACAGTGCGTAACCTCCTTACAGCAGAGAACACGGATATCCATAATCTAAATAAGATCTTAAAATACCTCTCATTGAAAAAAAAAAACAGGTGGGGAAAAGACGGAGCAATCGCTACATGATGAGTGGTCTGACCACACCTTAAACAACCTTAGACATAGCAATCAGATTTTATCTTCTTTCTCCGATCACAGCCTGAATATTAATACAACAGCTTTAATACAGACAAAAATATAAACAAAGCTACTGGTCTTGGATTAGTTTCATACAAAGGTTCGTTTTATTTGGACCCCAACAGTGTGGAGCCAACATGGTCCAGTGGGGAAAAAACATCTTGAGAACAGACAAACATCCTGTTCAAAGAATTGTGAAAGGATGGGGACATGCTGTTAATTCAAGAATCAAAAGGGTATTTGTATTGGTGCCAATTAAATACAGCACTTAGGCTTGGGCGAGAGGGATAGGATATCCTTTGTTTAACAGTAGTGTTTTCCACATTTAGGATGTGAAATGCAGGAGCGCCAATCGGGGTATTAAAGGTCAGATGGTTGGATGCTACTGGGAGTCTCTTTATTGGATGCGATGGGACACAGGATGTGTTAAAACTACTTACTGGAAAATTATCTTGATGATGCTGATCTGAGCAAGTCTGTTTCCTGTCATGTCATCTCATTTTCCTGCCCCAGTACATCATGTGTGTATTATATGTGCACAGTTCACCACTGAGCATTGTCTGACTGACACAGTGGTCAATAACAACAATTGTTATGCACTTTCTATAATTTCTCATCCAGTTCAGGCTTGTCATAGGGCAAGAGGTGGGGCAGACTCGGAACAGACTACGAGGCTACAGGCGTAGTTTGAACTTTCCCACCTTACATTCTTTACATTTAATTTATGCTTGAACAACTCCTTGAAGGTTATTGCATTTATATTATTCCTTTTAACAGAGCTAAAAACAAAGCATTATAAATATGTCAACATGTAATAAAGTGAACTTCATCACAGAACAATAGGACATATGAGATATACTTACATTCGAGCAATGCATGTCTCTTTTTTTTCAAGCTTTCTGTCACTTTGCCAAAACTGGACACAGTTTGAAATAAAGTGTAAGCAGCCTATCCATACATGTCCTGTTTTTGTTTTTATTTGTTCAGGTTTTTAAAAATCTTTTAAAGCCTGAAACATGACATAATTGCCAGGAAAGGTTTAGTGAACCATCTGACCATTTGTTTAAAAAAATTATTAAATTTAATGCTACATAAATGCTACATCTGGCATTTTTTAATTGCTTGTCTCAAAAAGTCACAAAAGACATGCATCAGATACGATACACTGGGTGTTTAAGCAGGTCATTATTAAGGCCAGATGTACGTCTGGGTAAAAGCTAATCCAGCACATGGTCAGGTTAAGACTAGATAACATTCACACACTCAGTGCTGGCTGTTGACTGGGGATCTTGACCCTAAGAACTCTGGTCATTACTTACAAAAATATGAGGCATTTGTGGCACAGTCTGAAGGACCACCTCCCTCTACTTCCTAAAAGGCAGGAAATTGTAAGGGTGGTTATGATTACGACCTCCTTCCTCACCTGGGGCTTCAGGACTGTGACTCTTTTGTCTGTGCATGCTAATGTCCCCTTTTTTACTGTGACTTCTAATTGCATTTCCTGTCTGTTGGGCTGTAGCTGCCGTCACACGGCTGCCCAGGATGGAAAAGACATCATGGAGCAAAACCCCTTTTTTTGTCCATCAACACTGCAGAGTCTAGAGGGGATTATGAGGCTTTTTTTTTTTTTTTTTTACATCCTTCAGAGCAACCCTGACCTTCACCTTGACTTCTTTCAGCAGAAATGTTATTGGAAGAAAGGCGAAGATTTTTTTGTTGTTAAAGACAACAGTTTGCTTTCATATAATCTTTGTTTTAACAGCTAGACCTTTATGTTTTTTGAAGAAACATGAAGTTCAAATGGTAACGTCAATATAATAAAATGTTCCACCCACAACTTTTCTTTATTTTACTGCCCCAACACGAAGAGCACAATAATACCTTACATTAAACTTTATATAGTAAATTATGTACAGACGTGTCTGTGTGTGTCTCTTAATTTAATGAAAGTACTAAGGCTGTCAGATTGTAAGTTCTGTATTTTTGTTTAATGTCATAGGCCTGTCATAATATCTGTAGTCTTCTACTAATTGGCAAGTTGATGGTTTGATCCCTTGTTTCTTCAGTCTGCATCCAAAACTATCCTTGGGCAAGATACTAAACCCCGAGTTTCTCTGTGATGTTAGATACAAAGCGCTAAGGCATAGAAAGAAGAGTTTGTATCAACAGATGAATGTTTTTTTTATTTACTGGCTTTTGTTATCCAGTTGAAAAGCTCATGGTCAGGTTCAGCTTGAATTGCTGGACAGATGGAATTTCATTATGACTGATATCACTGAACTCACTGCTGAATCAATCGTTACCAAATGTTTGAAGCAAAACCATAGCAGTTTCACTACTCTACATCCCAGCTGGAATGATTGATTTCTCTGTCGAGTGCATATCAATTTAAACACATGTACAGTAGTTTTGCTCTAATGTTCCTTATGAATACCCTGGAAGTCAAATTTGTGCAGTTATTCACAGGCAGACTTTGACACTTTGTACTTTAAGAACAACACTTACCTCAAGATCCTGTGATGACATCTCCTTTTTTCCATCAAACAGTCTTATAATAACTGTTAGTTTCCAAAATCTATTTGGGTTAATGAATTGCACTGAAACTAAAATTAAAACGTTGCAAGTTGCAGTCTGAATTGTCCTAAAAGTAAATGGCAGCAAATCACATGTGGCCCAAGGTAAAAGCTAAACATTTTGTAGCTGAGACTAATGAAAAAAACATTTATCCTGCATTTGATTGGCTAATGAATCAAAGTGAAATGTAGACTTGATGATAATAAAACAACAATATATCAATGTGTAGTGAAAAAGTGAAGCAGTTTGTTGACTCTCTTGTTGAGAGGCAAAATAACTCAACAGAAAATGCTGCATAGCAGAAACATTTAATGTTGTCGGCTAGTGTATCTGCAATATGTAACAAAGGGAAGCCATACAAACAAGAAACAAAAAGCAGGCCCACTCAAACCTGTTTACAAGAGGGTGCTGTTGATCTAATCAATTATCCCTCACATGCTGAGAACTCTATTCTACAGCAGGGGATATAGTGAAGGTTATTGATCATCCAGTCTGCTAAGGGTAACAGTAGGTGCTGTATACATTACACACCGTAGAGAGGACATCACTCATCACACAAAGCTCTTGAAGTTATCATATCTGTTTAGTTTGAGCAAAATAGAAAATAATTAAGAACAAATGGTGAACACTGTGAAAAATACTCTCTTTCAGATGTCACTGATAATATCTTAAATTCATATGGGTACTTTTCAAAGGTCGTGTGACTCCTGGAGTTCCCCATTTAAATCATAAAAAGTTATGACAGAGGTCTAGTGCTACAACCCGGTGCAACACGCTGATAACAAAATTGGTCTGATAAGAAACTCTGCATCTCAGTCCGTGACAATGACAGCCCCTTCCTTACTTTTGCTTAATAATACAAAGATTTGTGCTTTTGTTTATCTCAGTGTGTCATAGACCTGTAGTGTCTTTCTTTCAATGCGATAAAAGGGTTACAGGTTCACATATTAACTTTGCAGCAGAACCATCCTTCATGACGCTAACCTGTGTACTGCTTCCATCTAGTGTCTATGCCAGTGTATTACTATACTACAGGGTGGGCCATTTATATGGATACACCGTAATAACATGGGAACGGTTGGTGATATTAAAGTCCTGTTTATGGCACATTAGTATATGTGAGGGGGCAAACTCCTCCAGATGGGTGGTGACCATGGTCGACAATAAGAAGTCGGCCATCTTGGATACAACTTTTGTTTTTTCAATAGGAAGAGGGCCATGTGACACATCAAACCTATTGGTAATGTCACAAGAAAAACAATGGTGTGCTTGGTTTCAACGTAACTTTATTCTTTCATGAGTTATTTACAAGTTTCTCTTTGTTCAGGTGAACACGTGAAGAGCGGATCGAAATTGTGTTGATATCTGGTGAACGCAGTAACCGGGTCATTGCAGCAGATTTCAATGCAAGACACCCTATGAGACCACCCATCTCCCATGCTACAGTCAGCAAACTGCTTGCTAAATTTCGTGAAACTGGTTCAGTGTTGGATTTGCCAAAATGTGGACGCAAGAAAACTGTCACTAATAAAGACAAATAACTCATGAAAGAATAAAGTTACATTGAAACCAAGCACACCATTGTTTTTCTTGTGACATTACCAATAGGTTTTATGTGTCACATGGCCCTCTTCCTGTTGAAAAAACAAAAGTTGTATCCAAGATGGCCGACTTCTAAATGGCCACCATGGTCACCACCCATCTTGAGAAGTTTGCCCCCCTCACATATACTACTGTGCCACAAACAGGACTTTAATATCACCAACCATTCCCATGTTATTACGGTGTATCCATATAAATGGTCCACCCTGTAGAACACAAGGGTGTCATGAATGCCCGTTTATCTTTCTTTTGATTGTTTCATTTTTACCTGCCTGGAGGATACACCAATTTACAAAGCAGGAAGTTAATGCAATTTATAAAACCTGAGGTTTGGTTTATTTTTTACCAAGTAGTAGCCTATACTGGCATACAAAGTCAAGAACAGAAAGATAATCAACAGTACTCCATTTTTATCTCTAACTTCAACTTACTTTGTCAGCGCTCAGCCGTGCTTACCTTTCACTGCTGCTCACGTTGCACAGCACGCTGAGAGGCAGACACAAGATCTCTTTCTGAGCTGAGGGACAATTTGTCAGGTCCATGTGCTGACATGACAGTGAGAACTGTGGTAGGCAAACAGCTGTGCCTTTGTGTGACAACAAAAGCAGAAGGTGTAAATGAATAATAGATTCAAATAGCTCTAATTATTGTATCGCTCTCCGGCTGAATGCTTAATTTTACACTGCTCGTGAAAAACGATGCACACAATGCCATATGCTATTTTTAAAACCTTAATTATGACATTATTAATGCTTCATATTGTTTTTCTTCATAAAAAAATAAGAACATTTACTGGGCTTGTTGATTGACTCACCATAAAGTTATGCCTTTATTTTATGCTATGCTTTATGCAGGCTCAAAGCGTGCCAGGAAAATATCCCCCATGCATTTACACCACCAGCTTCCTGATCCATGCTTTTGTGGTGTTTATGTTAAATTCTGACCAAACCTTCAGGGGCACATATGCATGACTCTTTGTGGGCCCTCTTCCATTCTCGCTCCATATCTTACATCATTTTATTTCATTTTATTTCAACAAATAATTTAGTTCATAACTGTACACAATAATCTGTACTGTATTCATGAGCTGCCTTTAAAAACACATAAGACCAAAAGTCTGTTTAGTTTGAAGTATCCCCACATTTCTACAATTATATTATGTTTCAATGAGTTTTGCTTGGAGTATCCACCTTAGGGGTGTATTATTTTCTTCATTTATATTTCAGTATTTATTATTCTCTTGGCATAAAAAAACTTAAAGTGCAATCTTAGCTTTCTAACATGCTCTGTCCTCTCCTCATTCTTCCAATCACCCCAGGGTAACCTTCATTTTGCTCTCTCTTTTCACTTCCATCATCTTTTATCGCATTCGGGACTGATTGCAGCTCCTTAACCTTACAGCATCATGCTGCTTTCAACCTGTTTGGCACTAAGGCACATCAGAGGTCAAACCAGACCATCAAGGCAAACCAGAATAATTATAAATGTACTTGTCTTGATCATTGTGTGTAAAAAGTGTAAATAAGTATCCATATTTACTTGTTTCCATGAAACGCTAATGACAGTATTGTACAGGTCTAACAGCAGTGTGTTAGTTTGAAATTAGGTCAAAGTAGGTTTACAATATGTGCGATGATGTAACAGCTGCCATCTGTTAGTGTTCCTTTGATGCTATCAAACATAAAAGTTATACAGCAGTTTTTTGGTCTTGACTGGATGATTCAGCAGAACATGAAACTGTGAGCGTCTACGTGGATATGTTGGTGCTTCATAAGAACTAACCAAAGGTAAATAAATGCGTCCATCGCCATATAAGTGACTACTTATATACTTTTTTTTAATATTAATTAAGGAGCATTGCATTATTTTAAAATACTATTTCATCAGCCTTAAACACTTCCTTAAAAATGCCTTGTTTACATCACGGCCTCACTGGTCCAACATAAGCTGAAGCTGAAGCTGCTATTGATAGAAAAGACTAGACTAACTTTAAACTGCTGCTACATGTGCTCACCTAGTATCACATAATCTAGAGAGGGACCTGCTGCTGCTTCAGTCTCTGGCTGTTTCTGAAATGAATTTTCATGTGTTAATGAGTTAAGTCGTGCTGGCTAACTCTGATAGAACCACTGGCTCACTGTCTTTAGCAAATGCTCTTAGCTAAACCATTCTTAACCTGTTAGTTGTGCTCTGCTCACCTTTATTTTGAAAGAAATCTGTTAATGGCTCATTTCCGTCACTTTGCTTTCTTTCCCTCTCCTTTCTTTTGATTCCTTGGTTAGAGAGATGACTTCAGGTATGCATTATCAGTCAACTGTAAAGTTGAGTCCAAGTGTGGGGTGAATGAAATGATTTCGTGTCAGGACATTTATTCAAGTACTGCAAACAAAAACAAACTTGTCATTCCTGTAGTTGGGGCTCTGGGGAATCTGTCCAACTTCTTCCTCTGCTACAACATCCATGCTACCATCCGAATGTCACAGACTCATCAGCCTTGCCAATGTGTGCCAACTGTAGCTTCAGTTTCCTGTTGTTAACTGACAGGAATGACACATGGTGTGGTCTTTTGCTGCTGTAGCCCATCTGCTACAAGGTTCAATTTGCTGTGTTTTGAGAGATTCAAAGTCTCTTAAATCACATTTTTTCCTGATTCTAATACTCAGAAATGTGTCACCAGAGGGTGGTCAGAAAATACCAACATGCACATTTATTTATGTTGTTCTGAGCAGCAGAAAGTTCACAGAAGCAGTGGACCTGTGAGCTCATGAGAAATAAACGTGAATTTTGTTTTCTTCCTTCTTCAGTTTTATTAAAATTGTATTTGAGAATTGACTTTGTGCTTACTTAAATGTATGCAATGATGTCTTGGGAAATATTCATGTGCACTTCTATCGAAAAGGGAAATGGTTAGTGTGGCTTGACCTAATTAAAATATGACATCATTTTGGTTTTGTTTGTCTTGTTTTTTACATGAACAAACGTGTAAAACTCAACTTCATTATGACCAAATACATGACCCTGCCTAAAACCAACTTGTTAGTTGTGTCTAACCATAGTCGCATTTGCTCGCTATATTTTTAGTTGAGTGAGCAAATTTGGAATATGTAACTAGGCCAGCAAGTCACACACACACAAAAATACAGTGAAACAAAAAGGCTTCCATATGCAGTCCAGAGCCACATTTTATAGATGCCAAAATAATGAGATATGACTCAGGGATTATTAAAAACATGACCATGTCAGAGTGTCAGGTTTCTTAATTTACTGCTGTGTAATAAGCAAACTACTGAGTGTCACGTGCATACAGACTTGTATAGAAGCTGCTGTCACCACTAGACCCCTGGTAAGCCATGGTAACCACTTCCTTGGCTGCATTCTCCTGCTTGCAACCTCAGAAGATGATTTAAAAAGCAAACTAGTCTGAATTTATTTTTTTTAATTCACAAAAGACTCCGATGATATCCAGGGCAGAAAGAAGATTGATTTAAAAACCATTGGTTACAAGTTTACAATCAAAAGCATATTAGTTACAGATACAGGCCATGAAGTCCTGGTGATAACAGGCTTAATCTTGAGCACTGACTTAATTTAATATGTGAGAACTTCCAATCCTGAAGGGACTCAATACAATCCTGTTGGCGTTGTAGATTTTCAATAAATATATTTTTTCCAAAAAGAAAAACAAAACATAAAGTGCACCTTCATACCGCCAGTGGACCTGCAGTCTGCTAGGTGTTCCCCTAAAACTCTGTCGTCACACAGTCACGACTGGTGTGCGTAACGTGTACATGCCATGATCATGTTCCTCCTCCTCTTCCTCCTCCTCCTCCTCCTCCTCATCTTTCACATACATTAGGGTTTCCCTTTGCACGCAACAGCCATGAAATAAACGAAAAAATCAGAGTCCTCCGTGCGGTGCGGTCTTCCAGCCAATTCACCAACTGGAGTATTTGTGCACCACCATGCAAGCGGCGGGCACCGCGGCAGCTGATGCCGATGCTACTGTAAACAGTGGCAGCAGCAGCAGCGCCGCAGACATAAGCGACAGAGACGGGGCAGGGGAGAGGATGGAGAGGACGGTGCCAAGCGAACAGCAGCAGGACAGGACCAACAACCAGCAGCAGCATCAACAGACGTCCTCAACCCCGTCTGGAGTGTTGAGTGAGTATCGCAGAGAAAGATTGAGGGGGTGGGGAGAGGGGTGAACGGCAAAATGTGTGTGTGGACTCGCTTTCTCTGTGGTCACAGAAAGCGAGTGTTTGTGTGCCTTTACCCCCCCCAAAAAAAAAAAAGAGTGAGAGAATGGGGATAATGCACAAACGATATGGTGCAGTCACTGATGCTGAACAGACTTTACTGAATGACTCACTGGGGAGACTGGAGGGATCCGTCTGTGACTGGGTTGAGGTTTCCGTGTCCTTTAATTTCGCCGCTACACGGTGCGCATTCCGATTCAGGCAGGCCCGGGAAGAGTCCGAGGCAGGCTTTCTGGTCCACAGGTGCATGAAGGGCTGATATGCAACGGAGGTGTGTGTCCCGGCGGGCTGTCGGACACTGTGCGCTATACTCCGAAGACACTAAATAATGCGCTGCGAGCTCAGATGTCAGCTGTGACTTTACACGGAGAAATAGCATGCTACAGTAGTGAGTAAGCAAGAGGTGGATGGATGATGGCTGGATGGATGGATTATAAAAAGCAGTGGGAATTATATGCGCTGTCACCTTTTACTCCACTCTTCTGTGACACTTCATGGGGGTTTGCTCTGTGGTGGCATGTTTCAGGACGCATAGATACCTTGCCTTTATTAAAGACTCGGGTCTGGGCCTCTTACTGTATAACCCTTACAGTCCTGGCCTGAACAGTTTTGTGTGTAGCCTGTTTGTTGAAGACTTTGCACTTCATTGATGCTTGCCTGCTGTTTGACCATTGCATGCTGGGAAACCACCCCATCCCAACTTGACTTGGCAACAGAGTATGTAAACAATATTTAGGCTTACTCCTGAATAAATATTTAAATTAGTAGTAAAATCAAACGGGAAAAAAATATGTTGAGAAGTAACTCTCTAAAAGCATTCTTGAGATATAACTTGCTGTCTGATGAATCCCAACAAAAATATGACACAGAGTAAACTAAGATACAGTCTCATATTTGATCTAATATTTAATATTTACTGTTAGACTTGTTTTTTAGAGTCCCATTGCGCTTGATAAATATCATCATTCTCATTTGTTATGTGAAACCTCTCACTTTTGTATCAGTAAACTAGATGTTAAAATCACAATTAATGATCAGAAAAGCAAAACAAACTGCAAAACCTGGACTGATTTTAAAACGCAGCTGTGAAAAAAAAATCAGATAGCCAGTGCTTAGTAAGTGTAATTTTGTTTGTCATTTTATGTATTAATTCATCTATAATTAATATGATAAATATTTCTCATGGTGTGCACCTGCTCCATTGCATTCTTATATTAGATAAGCTCATCATTTGGGCAGCACGGTGGCACGGTGGTTAGCACTGTTGCTGCACAGCAAGAAGGTCCTGAGTTCAATTCCAACATCAGGCCGGGGTCTTTCTGTGTGGAGTTTGCATGTTCTCCCCGTGTTTGCGTGGGTTCCCTCCCGGTACTCCGGCTTCCTCCCACTGTCAAAAGACATGCAGCTTGTGGGGATAGGTTAATTGGATAATCCAAATTGTCACTAGGTGTGAATGAAAGTGAGTGAGTGTGTGGTTGTCTGTCCCTGTGTGTTAGCCCTGCGACAGACTGGCGACCTGTCCAGGGTGTACCCTGCCTCTCGCCCTATGACAGCTGGGATAGGCTCCAGCACCCCCCGCGACCCTGAAAAGGATAAGCGGAAGCGGATGGATGGATCATTTAAAGATAATTTGACCCTAATTTGATAAATTGCTTCTGCCCGGGAGAGAAATTTGCATGTCAGATACACGTTCAAGTAGAGGATTCTTCATGGCTTTAATGAGCATTTCTGTCATGGGGAACCAGCGAGAACATCGGTGTGCAGTACTCTGAAACACACAGAGCATGGAGTAGAACCAGCCAGTGTCTGTAGCTTGGCTCGGATCGCATCATTATGTCATACAAAAAGTCAGATCTTTATGAATTTATTCATCGCATTTCTGGTTACGTGTGATTGATGTTGGAGTTTATTAGTTATGTATTGAATGCAGTGACCCACAAAATACTGTAACACAGAAGATGACAGCAGCCCCGAAGGCCCTCAGAAAGAGGGCTAATACGTGCTGTAAGTAGGTGATGTGATATTGCAGAATGTGACATCCAGAAGACAGGCACACACTGAAAGAGTGTTACAGTATAATTCAGTGAACTATGAAGCGATTCGCCCATCACCGTGGCTGTCGCTCCTGAGCGTGAGCCACTGAAAACCAACGTGTGAAAGGCACAGCAATAAAAATGATGACTTCAGACTTCAGTGTGTCGTTATAATGCACAAGTGGGATGACGCTGCTGAGTAGAACCAAGGCCTGTTGGTTTGTCAGCACTTAATTTTTATCTAGAGAGGCTTGAAAAAGTAGCTTGTCAGTGAGTATTTACTCACCGACCAGTTTGCAGATCATTTGTTTGTTTGCCTCTCAGAACATTTGCTCAGTCACAGCACTGTTAACCTTCACTGGAGATGACTCATTATTTTCTACATTTCAGTCCCTATGTCACCATGACAGAGCAAACAGTTAATAGTGAATGGGAAATGTTGTGATTAAACTGATATCAATGAAAAACTGGTCAGTTGTGGTTAGCGTCTGTCTTTTTTCTCCTTAAACTTTGTTAATCCCAGTTTGACCCAGTCTCATCCTTTCTCTATATTACCTGTCTTTCTTAGATAAACTGTTTGGGAAGCGACTTCTACAGGCCAGGCACTTTATTATGTCACGGAAGTCCTGGTTAAAGATGGTTCCCACAGAGAACTGTGATATACTGATGACATTCCCAGGTACAGTAAGCTCAGATGTGTCCTGTTTGTTTTGTTTGTCCTGTGCTGAAGCCCTTGCTGCAGAGAGAGCAGTGTTCATTTAATATCAGTGATGATCAGCCACCCACTTAGTCAGATGATTGTGACTGTCAAATGGGCTCTGGGGACAATTAGAAATCTTCCATTTACTGTGCTTGTATTTACACACCATCCCCTTCTGCAGCGTATTTTAATGTAGCTGTGAATTCGTTGGACAAACCTTCACGTATACAACACAAAAGTCCCATCCTATACTTTATGTTGCATTTTAACATGATACCGTTTGTGTGGGGTCTATGTTAGACTGCTTTTGTAAATAATCTTTGGTGACATGAAATCCTGCAGCATATATGTTCAGTTTACTGCATCTGTCTGGCATTTCTGCTCTTCGTTTTCAAGACAGTGTGTCCTGTTTTCGAGGTGTACATTTTACGACCTGAATTCCCAAAAAGGATGCTGTGTAAAAACAGAATACAATTATTTACTGATCTCATAAATACATATTGTACTTACAGTGGAATACGGAAAACATCAAATGTTTAAAGTGAGACATTTGACCAAGACTGCAGGGGGACTCCTAATCCTCCAACCAGTGTAAAATCATAACCAAATCAAACATGTGGATCATAAAGAATGAGATAACCATATCCGGTCAGGGCCTGGGTTAACAAGGACTGCATCGGGTGCCGTTGGCCAACAGGGTGCTGGAGGAATCTGTGCTATTGCTGTTGAAAGATAAAGAAAGAGGAAAGGGGAAGGCATGTTTGAAGGCAAGGAGAGAGAAGGAAAGGCAGGGGAAAGTGGCAAATCTAGGGACTATAACTGGTAAAGAAAGAGAGCTGGCTGATATGATGGAGAGAATGAAACTAAATATATTATGTGTGCAGGAGACCAGGTAGAATGGAACATTGTAGGTGGATTCAAGCTGTTTTACCAAGCTGTAAGTAGGAAGAGAAATGAAGTAGGGGTAATCTTGTTGGAAGAGTGTGTGAATCGTGTTACTGAGGTGAAGAGATTTTCAAAGTGCCCAAAAGGTTAGATGTGAATAAAAAAAGAAAGAGGAACTCTGGAGTAAGTTGGATGACGTGGCAGAGAGTGTCTGAAGGGGGAAGAGGGTGGTGATTGGAGCAGACGTCAATGGACATTTGCGTGACAGAAACAGAGGTGTTAAGTGGGTATGGTGTTAAGGAGAGAAATGCAGAAGGACAGATGGTGGTGGATTTTTGCCAAAACTATAGAAATGGCTTTGGTAGGGAAGTAAGAGGGAGGACCACGGCATGACATATAAGATTGGAGGAAGGGGCACACAGGTGGATGACATCTTGTGCAGAACGTGCAGTCTTAAAGAGATAGGAGGCAGTAAGGTGGTGTCAGGAATGTAGTTATAGGGAACATCAGATGTCTGTAGGATGAGTGGAGGCAGATATAAGGATTAAATAATGCAACAGTCAAAGGACAAGAAAGGTGAAGAAAAGAGTCCAGGCAGGGTGGAGTGGAGGGACACGGTTGTCAAGGGTGAACTCTGACAGAAGGATGGCACCAAGAGTGAAAGGGATGGTAGTGAGACCTGCTATGATGTATGATTTGAAAATGGTGGCAGGAATTTGACAAAATTCCTCTCCCAAATTTCCAGTAACTGCTCTCCTCAGTCACCAGATTTTTACAGGCTGCTGTTAAAAGAAGAGGGGATGTTACACGGTGATTTACATGACCCTGTCCCAACCTTTTTATGAGACATGTAATCATTATAAAATGGTACATTTTCTCAGCTTAAGTATTTAATATGTTTTTGAAATGTCTTCTTGTCAACAAAATGTGTTTATGCAATTTTATTATCCTCATTATTAAGAACTGAGGTTATATATATATATAACCTCAGTTCTTATATATTTAATGTCTTTTATATATAATGTAAAATGAATTTCATTTAACTTAATTAGAGTAAAGGGATGGTTGAGACTGTTAAGATGTTTTGTGGTAAAACAGGAATTGAAATGTAAACTCATCGACACTGGATCTTACAATTACAGTGAAGATTTTTTATGTTTAAGAAAACAAATCAGAAAAATGCGCGTCTGTCTTTTATGACCACTCTGAAAAACCTTTTCACTGCACACACTTCCTTTTGAGCCGACCTTCAGCGGAAACGTCAGCTGCTTTGATTGTTTAGAGTTCAACTGTTTCCACCTATTTACGCTTTGATGTTTTAAGTCATTCATCTGAAAGTGCACACATGACGCACAGAATTGCACCTAAACTGTCTTATCTTGCATACCTGCAGTGTTTAATCTAGGCAGGCACGCTTGAACTTTAACCAGAAAAATAGTCTTATCGAGTCAGCTAAAGCAGTTTTTATCGACCACAAATGGCTCAGTATGAGTTTATTCTAAGCAATCAAAGACGGCAGCTGTTACAAAATTGTAACCCAACAATGTGCAACAGTCATAGCTGAATCTGATAGAAAGAAATGCACACGGCACATGTTTATATATAAATTGCACCTGTTTTAAAGCGTTTCCACATTAGATGAATTTAACGTTGTAAATGCTTTTCAGTGTGATGTTTAGTGTTAGTAAGGTCTATAACTGTTTCATTACTGGTTCAAATTTTTCATAGTCAGCTGAAAAAGATCGATTGGTTACAGTCCATCCTCAATAGCTTTTAAAAAGATCTTTGTGGTAAATGGAGACAAGTATTTAACTGGAAAGGGCTGTTACTGCCACCTCCACCTCCCACCTACCTCCCTGCTTCATGACACTTCAGTCAGAGCTGTGAAAAACAGGCTTTGGTTCAGCCTCCTTACACAGCATCAAACATATAATTTCCTTATAATTTTGATAAACGAGACTCTAAACCTGCCGAGTTAATTTAGACTGTAATAAAACTACATGTAAATGACATTAATGCGATTGATAAAAAATGTCAACATTTTTTCCTACAGACACAATAGATGACCACACTCTGCTGTGGCTCCTTAATCAGATTCGGGTTGGAATCCCACAAGTCAGCATCCAGGTTCGACAGCATAAACACACCCAGGCAAACGCCTTCTTCATCACAACAACGTTTGAGAAGTAGGTAACTCAAACTCTGTCTGTGTGTGTTACACCATTTTGACATTTTATACCATTATTGATTTACACCTGCTTCATCTTAGCCACAAACAAATACCCGGACTTAGTGTTGGGTCGTGGCAAATAAATGTGTTTTGGTATGAAAGAACTGTGTGTTTACAGCTCAGTTAGGTGCAGTTAGATACAAAAATGTGAAGTATTAATTTTACATACATGATTAGATGGTTTTGGCATATACAGTTAAGCCCAAATGTTTGTAGACAGTTATTTTTGTTTTTCCGTTACGTGATCTTGTGTGCACCGTCACAGTGGATTTTAATATTAAAGCCCAGAGTTTCAGCTTTAATTAAAGAGTTTTTAAAAAATTATTATTATTTTTTTAAACTAACATAATTTTAAATATGAGGACTGTTTTTAATATTTGAAAATCCTTTGTAGTCAATGACTGCCTCAGGTCTTGAACTCATGGACATCACCAAATGCTTTGAATGCTGTGTTTGCACTTTGTCCCACATAGCAAAATTGGTATGGTCCGAATCTGGCCCACACAATGTGCTTACACATGGCCCACATACCGCAAAGAATGACGGCCCTTTGGTGGCCAGGATCTGGTTTGCCAAACGTGGCCCACACATGGGCCAGCACAAGGCCAGTTGCAGACACACTGCTGGCCCTGTGCTGGCCCAGAACAGTTTCAGCTCTGGCCCCAGATGTCAGCCTAATGTGTACCTTAATTAAGCCATGTAATAAGAACATGTGCATAATAGTGCAAAAGTAACATGACAACACTCTGTTCAGACAGGGAATGGACTGATTCTTATATAGCATTTTTCAGCTCTCCCAGATTACTCAAAATGCTTTATACAACATGCCACATTCACTCAACCACACACTTTCGCTTAACTGAGTGCTTCCTAACTACATTCATACACATTCGCACTCACAACATGCAGACTGGATCAGCCAGGTATCTGGGAGCCAGATATGGGAGCCAGGGCCTGGCCCATATCTGGAAAACATACGTCTTATCATGTCAGATGTCGGCATGATACATTGCCGGCTTAATACCAGATCCGGGCCAGACCTCCTTGCAATGTAGGATAGCTCTGTCTGATCAGTTTGCAGCATTTAATTTGTCTGAGTCAGAGCTGTACACATCAGAGTTCATCCTGCTGCTTCTATCAGCAGTCACATCATTGATAAACATGCCAGTCATACATGCCCATGCCATAACACTACCTCCACCATGTTTGACAGATGATGTAGTGTACTTTATTTCATTAACTGTTTTGATTTTTCTTCAGACTTTTCTCTTCCCATCATTCTGATATAAGCTCATCTTGGTTTCATCTCTTCTTTTTCAAGAACCGTGGAGGCTTTTTAGATGTTTTCTGGCAAAGTTTAATCTGATCTTCTAGTTCTTGAGTTTAACTGGTGGTTTTCTCTCATTATTTACACTCCTGAAGATGTCTGTTGATTGGAGATCTTGACAATGATACCTCCTCCAGAGTGTTCTTGACTTGGTCTGAAGTGTTTTTGTTAACTAAGGAAAAAAATTCACAATTCATCCGCTTTAGTTGTCCTCTGTGGTCTTTTTTTTTTTTTTCGTTGGTGTTGAAGATCTGGCAAGTACATTCATTCTTTTTAACAATGTACCAAGGTGGAGTGGGTGGAGATGAGAATTAGGGGTGATTTATGAAAGACGGGTGAGACCTGCTATGATTTATGTTTTGGATACAGTGGCATGAACACAAAGACAGGAGGTAGTAGAGTTGAAGATGTTAAGATTTTCATTGGGAGGGACCAGAGTGGAAAAGATTAGAAATTAGTACATTAGAGGAACAGCTCAGGTTTAGTGTTATGGAGACAAAGTTAGAGAAGCAAGGAGATGATTTGGACATGTGCAGAGAAGGTAGTGGATATATTGGAAAAAGACTGTGCCAGCTGCCAGGCAGAGGGAAAAGATGAGGACCACAAACGAGATTCATGGATGGGAAGGAGGACATGCAGTGATTTGGTGTGACAGAGGAGGATGCCTAAGAGAAAGGGAGTCGGAGGCAGATGACCAGCTGTGTTACAAAAGACCAGGTCTTACCCAGCCCAAAAAAATTGGTATTTAGTCAGTTGTTCCAATAATAATTTTGTGGCTCTGAAAATGGAGTACTAAGTGTAAAATGTCACAGTCAATGAACAAACTCTAAGCAAGAAATGTAATTAGAGTATTAGAGTAAAATTATTTTGAACACATGTGACAAGTCATCCTCCACCTCCACTTGTATTCACTGCAGTTTGATATTCACCGGCCCTTAATGTACCTAAATAATGAAACCTTTTCAGTGCCGCGTCTGTGCAGTGTCAGTTCTCCATCAGGGTTTATGCTGCTGTTCATTCACCCTCAGCTTACTGCGAGGAGCGGAGCAGATGGGCATGCACAAGAACGTTAAACCACAGTTTGGTGGTGGCATGCGGCGCTTTTCCTGTGAGGAGGACAACATCTATGAGAACATTGAGAGCGAGCTCTGCTTTTTTACCTCTCAGGTTAGAAGCCAAACCTTGGGTCATGTTTGAATATCTTAAACAGTATAAACGGATTAAAATGTATGTGTTCTTTTTTTTTTTCCTGCTTCGTGTTCGTGGTTTTGTTCAGGAGCGCCAGAGCATCATTAAGTACTGGCTGGATAACCTGCGAGCCAAGCAGGGGGAGGTGCTTCACAACATTCACTTCCTGGAGGGACAGCCAATCAGTACGCTGGAGTTTTTTTATGAGCACTTTATATTGAGGCATTCCTTAAATACTTCACAAATGCATTTGCTTTTAAATGCAATATTTCATATTTTATCTGAAATACAAATAGATGCCAAGTTCATCATGAACATCTGTTGTTCTAACACAAGAACCCTCACTGAAGACTATCAGGACATCCACTGTTAGAGTTTTACTTGTTTCACTAAGATAAACTTAATGTATTGGTTTTTTTTTTTTGCTTGATTACATGAGATTTTAGAATCCATGTTTTTCCAAACTTGATGTGTCCTCTTTAGTTCCAGAGCTGATAGCTCGGGGGGTGATCCAGCAAATGTTTCCTCTTCATGAGCAGAGGATACTCAACCAGCTGATGACATCTTGGGTCCAGGCTGTATGTGAGAGGCAGCCCCTTGGTAGGAAGATTTGCAATTTTACTTTGGAGGGCAGTAAACAGAAGGCCTCCATTAGGCCTCCATTAGGCCTACATACAGTTATAAGGAATATTAAATGACACTGTAAAACATTATGTGATGCCTTCAAATCCTAAAACCCTCAACATTTTCAATTTTTCTACTTTGTAGATGACATCTGTGACTACTTTGGGGTGAAGATTGCCATGTATTTTGCTTGGCTAGGTTTCTACACCAACTCCATGCTTTATCCTGCTGTCATTGGCTTTCTCCTCTGGATGCTAGCAGAGGCTGACCAGGTACTTGGACCATTTTTTTTCTTTCTTGAAAACATTTGTAATTTTTGGACACAGATTTTTGACAGTAAATTTGACTCTGTACACCACCACAGTGGGTTTCAAATACTCAGAAGTAACTGGACAATTGACTACAGATGAAGCCCGTTCCCTCATTATTTCTTGATTAATTAGGAAAAGATCAAAGCTCTAGAGCTGATTCCAAGTGTTCAGCTTGTATTTGGTATTTCTTCTGTTCTCACTATGAGGTCCAAATAGATGTTGATGCAAATGCAGGTCATCATTAATTAGAAAAAAAGAGTGTTTGATGAAAAGATTATTTCCAGGAAACACAACTTCACAACATGTAGCCAAGTCAAAAACACCCTTGAGGATGTAGGCGTGTCATTGTCAACAATCGGTAATATACAGAATTTAAACAACTCTACATCAAGTCTACAATCAACAGTTGCCTTCATGTATGGAAGGGTTTGTAAACACTCTGTATTTCCTTGTTCCTCTTGTATTTCCTTGTTGTAACAAGGTGCAAAACACTGAATACACTCAGTAACAAGGAGACCAGATTATGCTTCCCCAGACAACACCTATAACACAAAAGCCTGCACAGTTCTTTGGACAGGTGTAACCAAAATTAACGAGTGAAAAAAAAAGCAAGAAGAAGTAGAGAAACAGCATATGAAGCATGCCACATTATCTATTAAAACATGTCAGCGGCAGTGTCATGGTATGACTGCAGTGTAACCAGCTCACTAGTGTTTGCTGATAGAAGTAATGGGATGAATTGGAAGTGTACAAGGCTATACTCTCTACTCAGCCTCAGAAAAATATTACAAAACTGATCAGACATTGCTTCACGGTGCAGGTGGATAATGAAAAATGAAAGTATACTTCAAAGACATTTACAAAGCAAAGAAATCGGATATACTTCACTGGCCAGGTCTGTCATCCAACAGAGCATGCTTTTCAGGTATTAAATACAAAACTGAATGTAGAGACCCACAAACAAGCAGCAACTGAACACAGATCCTGGACAACCTGAAAGGATTTTCAGGATTAAAAAAAAAAAATCTTTACATTTAAAATTATGCCAGTTTGTCCAATTTCCTTTGAGCCTCTTAAAATGGATGCCTGTGTATAAAACCAGCTTTAATTTCAAAGCAGGTCAAGCCAAACCTTTGTAAAAGGCCTTAAATTAAACATGAAAGTCTGCACTTCAGTCACACCTTCATTGATTTTAAATCCACTGTGGTGGTGTACAAGGGCAAAATTACAAAAAAAAAAGAAAAGCATATTAATAAAAATATTTAATTTTTTCTTTAGTTTGTTGTGGAAATTGAAATAATGTATTTGTATAAAGCAAATTCAGAGTATTATGTCATCAAACATATGGCTGTGGACCACTAAATATTCAAATAGATGATAGTTGATCTACACGGAAATAATCGTATTCGTTTCAGCTTATCATTTTCTGGTTTGGCTCTCCTGACACTATAAATACTCTGGCTCAGAGGCTTTTAATTTGAATGTGTGAGATTGAAAAGATAGCAGTCCCCGACAGGAAGTAGGCAGCTTTGATTTATGGTCAAGCTGACATGCTGGCACGGTGAAAGCAGAACAGACAAAAATCCCTCTTCACGATCACACAGTTGCATGAAAGTAAATATGAAATTTCCACTGAATTGCCTCTAATGTTTTTCATAAAATGCTTAAACTGTTTATACGTTAAAGCAACACATGATACAAACTAAATAATCTAATCAGTGGCACTGCATGGTATAACTTTATCATCACATGTTACAGCATTTTGTCTTTGGTTCTCTAATGCTCCTGCTCAGACCAGTCAGGATATCTGCTGTGTGGTTTTTGCCCTCTTCAACGTTGTGTGGGCAACTTTGTTTCTGGAGCGCTGGAAGAGGCGAGAGGCAGAGCTGGCTTACAGGTGGGGCACTCTGGATACCCCCACAGAGTCCTTAGAGGAGCCCAGACCTCAGTTCAGGGTGAGCACTGTTTCAGATCTTATACCACCAAGAATTTTTCAGTGATAATGATAATAAACTTCTAAAGCTTTTTTTTTTTTTTTTTTAAATAATGGATTTACACGCAGACTTTGAATTCTTTTATTCAGCATTTCCATTTTTATCAAAGTAAAAAGCTATATCGCTGTCTTTGCATGATGCAAGGGATCAGTTACTCAGTTCTGCAGCAACTCAGTTGCGTCACAATTCCAGGAAATGTGATCAACGTGTTTCTAAGAGTATTGTGTGAGTGTGTCTGCGCGGGGGGTGGAGGTGTCCAACTCACTGCGTCCTGCTGTGAGGAATGAATAGAAAACTGCAAGGGGGGGGGTTAATGCCTCAAAAGGGGAGTGTGGGAACTCCTCAGCACAAGCCCGGCTAGCTCAGTCGGTAGAGCATGAGACTCTTAATCTCAGGGTTGTGGGTTCGAGCCCCACGTTGGGCGTGATAGCTTTTAAAGAAGACGCACATATAACCGGAAGTTCTACAAAATAGGAAGATTTGACTTCTTGGCAGGCAACGTTGATGATGGCACGAGTTTCATGTAACAAATTATATAGAGAGAATTAGCTGTTTGCTGTGATAAGACACCTCATTTCATTTTTACACTTCAAATGATGACAAAAATCCCAAAATAGCCTCCAATCTCATATTCAGCCTGGCCCGTCTGTTCCCTCCTCCTCTGCTGTCTCTGCAGGGAGTGAAGCGTTGCAGTCCTATAACTGGCTGTGAGGAGTTCTACTACCCACCCTGGAAGAGAGCTCTGTTCAGATGGCTGGTCAGCCTGCCCATCTGCCTCCTCTGTCTCTGCTTCGTCTTCCTTGCTATGCTCCTCTGCCTAGAACTGCAGGTTTGACACCCAGAACAACCGTGTACAGGTTCTGTGAGACAAAATGAATTTAATATAGTCATGGTGATGATATATATCTGTGTTTAATTCTACTCTTAATGAAATAAATACAGTATATAAGGAGTTTAACAAGAGAAGTAAAAAGTGAGAACAAACTTGCTTCAGACCAATAAGAATGTAAGATCCATGTCAACTGGTAGTCCTGAGATTTGTGTAATGTGTTATTTTCTAAAACAGGTTAAACAGACCATAATCAACTATACCCACTACCTGCTCACATTCATTTAACGGCCTTTTAAAAATAGCCCAGGGATTTGAGACATGAATGAACAGGCCATTAAAAATGTATCATACTTCTATTTCACCTTGCAGGAAGTGGTGATGGAGATTCAGGAGCTGCCTAGTATTACAAGATTCATTCCGAAGATACTTCTTGCCATGACAGTAACTGTATGTGATGAAGTGTATAAGAAGATCGCCTACTGGCTCAATGACATGGGTAAGAAGAAATTAAATTTAATGAAGCGTACTTGCCCATGACCGTGATTTAGATTATGTAACTCTTTGGTATGTAGAAGGCTGTCCTATGTCCTAGTCTGCATTTTTACTTTTTGTTAGAGGAAAAACTCCTGCACACTGAATAACACTATTCTTATTTGCATTTCTTTGCCTAGAAAACTACAGACTCCAGAGTGCCTATGAGAATAATCTTATCATCAAGATGGTTTTTGTAAGTCATTATTTCCCCTCATTTGGAGATAAAAACAGTTTACCATGAACGAGTGAGTGAGTGAGCGTTTGCATTTCTGCAATGCTTTCGTCTTGTTTTGCAGTTTGAATTCATCAATTCTTACCTTAGCCTTTTCTACATTGGATTCTACCTCAAGGACATGGAGAGACTAAAGGAGGTAACCACAGTTTTATTCATTTATCCACAGATAAGCAAAATACTGAGTTAAAAGTAATTTTATCTTCAAATGCCCAAATGTCACTTTGCTGAACACTGGGCACCGTGGCCCAAAGTAGCGACTCTACACCTGCAACTTGGCAGTTTGCAGTAATAATCTTGTTGTTGTCGGCAATTTTATCAACCAAACTGATTAACCAAAGGATTTTTTTCAGCTGCAGACAGCTTGGTTATTAAGTTAAAATGAGCGCCATATTTTATTTAGTATTTGGGGGCTTTTCACATGAGCTCATTTCCATTTAAGTCAGGAAGTGGAAATAAAACATTACATTAACGGTTGTTGATATTAACTTTATGTCTAATTCAGGTTCAGCTACAAAGACATGACAAAAATGACTTGAATATTCAAATTCATAAGGTCCCTATTATTTATTTATTTTTATATATATATATATATATATATATATTTCCCAACTGGAAACTAATTATGCCAACAGCACATGAATGCAGCATTAGTAGAAATTTTTTTTATTAAAAAAGCACTACACACACAAAAAAAGGTATTTTATCCCCAAAATTCTTATAAATACAATATGCTAATAGTATGCTATGTTATATTATAGTAAATATTACTGCTGTCTTATATGTGAACCATTTTTTCTAATGTGCAAAGGTTACATTAAGGCAGGTATTTTGTTTGAGTCTACAAATTCTGAGTGAGTGTACATAGAGTCACGTGGCAAAGTGTAAGGCTACAATCCAAAGTCACTGTTTAGGTGAGAGATTTAATGTTAGTTCTGTAATACCGTATAAAGCTCTTCAGCTATCCCTCATTTTTTTTGTATTTTGCCAATACAATAGATGCTGTGATTTCTTTAAATTTGCAAACAACAATGAAAGTACAGTAGATGAAGCAAAAGCCAGTTTGTTCCAACAACCTCAAAAGTCAATATTTGGTATGACCACTTTATTTTTCAGTACAGCCTGAACTCTCCTAAGAGCTTTCTTCAAGCAGTCATCAGGAGTAGTTCTCCAGGCTTCTTGAAGGACCTTCAAAGATCTTCTGATGTAGGGTGCCTTTTGTTTCATTATCTGTCAAAATGATAATGATTCGGAAACTGTCTGTCTGCAGTAGATTGTTTTTAAGCAACTTGGCATACAAAAAGAAATTGGTCAGGTACAAGGACTGAGTGAAAAAGCAGCCAATGTCTAAAGAAAGGCTTTGGAAGACCTTTAGAAAGCCTGGAGAACTATTGATCCAGACTAGTTTAAAAAAAAAATTAGAAACAAGTCTGTTCCCTTCTGAGTCCCAGAGGGATCCCTGTCAGTCACAGTGCAAACGATGCACAGTGCAGAAGTAAATTTAAAGAATTGAGGGTTGCTCAAGACTATTGCACAGCATGGCATAATAATGAAACACTGCATTTGTTGCCCTAAACTTTAAATCATACAAGATCAAAGCTTTAACAGCAACACCCACAATTTCTTGAACTAAGCACCAGTTTATTATGAATCCCAGAGTCTGTTTTTTCTTTTACTCAACAATCACTGGGTCTTGCTTTGATGTTATTCTTACATTCAGCATAGTAACAGATCCCGTCCTTCTCTTCACAGATGCTAGCTACTCTACTGATTTTCCGCCAGTTCTTACAGAACATCAAAGAGGTCCTTCAGCCTTACCTGTATGAGCAAAACAAGCTCGGTGTGTTCACCCCAAAGGTGCTGTGGGAGCTTCTCCAAGCCATCGTGCTCAAATATGGCCGCCTGGCTCTGGGAAAGGCTCAAGCTTCAATGACATCCTATTCCTTTCTGAGTCCCAGAGGAATTCCTGTCAGTCACAGTGCAAACGGTAACCCAGAGCCAAAGAGAAGAGGAGATCTGAAAGCAGGATTCAGACTGACAGAGGAAGAGTGGGACATGACCGACAGTGCCATGAAGCAACGTAAAGTCAGCTTCACCGAGAAGGTCGACTACCAGGATGTCACAATGGACACGCAGGCAGCGGATGACAGCTCCCTAGAGGACAGTCCCACGCTGGTGGAGGAGGGCATGGATCCTTCCAGTATTTTTGATAGCTGCGATGAGGACAGTGATTGTGAAGTGCTGCCTCAAGTATGTGGTTTGCTTAATTGAACTGTGTATCAGATTCTATTGCTGCTTTGTATTCTTGCCGTATGTCTTTAAAATGCAAAATTGACATCCTTTGCTTTAATAGGTATCAAAGGTCTCAATATTACACTGTGCTGTTTGAGAGTCATTTAACTCACAATATCACAACTAAAGTATGCACTGCAAAGCTATAGAATTAAAGCTCCTGTTACTAGATTAGCAGTCTAATATTTACTTTAGCAGGACACCAAAGACAATACCGCCTCTGTCTGTCAGAGAAGAAGGAATGTGGGGGAGGGCAATGATGACAAGAAATCATGGATCGATCCACCGGAAGAGCCAAAAACTGTCACTCTGACCCAGGCCGAGATTGAGAGTTGTATGCAGACATACGAGGTAGGACTATACTTAAATATAAAATAATTTAACATTTAATAGAAATTTTGTTGCTTGACAACAACTTGACCCTGACAGGACACACTTCAGGACTACCAGGAGATGTTCATTCAGTTTGGCTATGTGGTGCTTTTCTCTTCTGCGTTTCCGCTGGCGGCCATGTGCGCCCTTATCAACAACATCATCGAAATACGCAGCGATGCCCTGAAGCTCTGTACCGGCCTGCAGAGACCGTTTGGGCAGAGGGTGGAGAACATAGGACAATGGCAGGTCAGTGTGTGTCATGCTCTGAAAAATGTCAGAAAAGCCTCCAGGCTCCAGTGTGCACAGCAGGGGCATCTGATAATATGTAAATATCTCTCCCTGTGTGTCACCAGACTGCGATGGAGGCCATGGGCTTGATAGCCATTATAGTTAACTGCTACCTTATTGGTCAGTGCGGGCAGCTTCAGCGTCTGTTCCCCTGGCTTAGTCCTGAAATGACCATCATCTCCATCGTCTTATTGGAGGTATTTGCAGTCGTGTAGCTTTGGCAGGGAAAACCTTTGTTTGTTTTCTGTAAATGTGGAAAATGATATTTTCTTATATTTATTGTGATTTTTGGTATTTGTATGACATGTTCAATAGAAATATTAAAGACAGGCGGGAGGGGGAGAATGCCATTGTGCCTTGGTGGAACTGTGTGTTGAGAGTGTCCCTTTGTGGTCTTGGTGGTTTACAGCACTTTGCAATCCTCCTAAAGTACGTCATCCATGTTGCCATCCCTGATATCCCTGGCTGGGTAGCAGAAGAGATGGCCAAGCTAGAGTACCGACGAAGGGAAGCTTTCAAGGTATAACTGTGATAGCTTGAAAGACCTTCGGCCAACGTAAGGCTTGCTGTTGGCTGCATACTGTGTCATGTCTTTGTATATCTCTACATTTGTGCCCCTTGGTGCCTCATGTCTGTGCATTATCCAACAATGCACACCAGTGAAGCCTTTTCTGATTGTAATGAAGAAGTAACTGTATGTGTTTGTCTGTATAGTTTTGTTGGCATCTTGTCTTGATGATAAGTCTCATTATAGAGATAGCAACACAACTATGAGCCAAAATGGAAAAAATCTAGATATTTGTATTTATGATTGCATTTCATCACTGTTAGTATATATATTTTAAATGTAGAATATTTCAATGTGTATTTATCCCTCATCTTCTCTAGCTTTAATGTCAAACTTCTCCCTCTTTAGAAGCATGAGCTGCAGGCCCAACAACACTTCCAGCAGCAGCTCAGGCGCCGGCGTGAAGAAGAAGAGCTTCAGCGTCATGCTGAGCTGCAGGCCGAAGCCCGTCAGGAGAGTGACTGCCATAAGGCAGACACCCAGCACCAGCATCACCATGACAAAACACAAGTAGGCAAGCCAGGGGACAAGCCCAAGAGACCAAGCTCTCTGCTGGGAAACAACAATGTGATGAAGCTTAAGCAGATCATTCCTCTTCAGGGGAAGTTCTCCTCCGGCACGTCACGCTCACCGGCTCAGTCCCCAACGGGAGGCGAAGCAAAGCTCCCGGGATTTCTGAAGTTCTTGAAGTCACCCGAGGTGAAAAAAGAGCCAGCAGTGGCAGTTGGAGCCACGCAGGGGTCAACAGTGACCTCTTCAGTTCCCCCTAGTGGCCAGGAGAGGTCACAATCCCCCAACCGGACATTCAGTCCTGGGAAGCTGTTCAGCTTCAGCAAGTCAGAGGGTACTGTGGTGTGCGCAAATGGGACACAGCTGACCACGCAGGCTGCTAACACTCAACCCAGTAGGGTCGAGTTAAACACATCCTCAGAGGAATTACCCTCGAATGAGTCAGATAAAGTTGAATCGAAACAACTGACTGATTTAGAAAGCTCCAACTCAAAGACTTAATAAATGATCAGCCAAACCAGTGTATTATTATAAAGTGGAGAGCAGCATACAAGTGACATTGATGCACCTGCACTGCAGAACATTAGTCATGAGGACCACATGTAAAGTCAGCGAAGATTAGACTTTCACACTTCATGCAACTTACTTCTCACAAAACATTAAACTGTATCTATTAACACTCGACTATCTAACTTCCATGTAAAAATGTACAGTAAGCATAACTCCTTGAATGGAGCTTGAGTAACCTTTAATGAAGGTTCAATTACTGCATGAGTGGTTTTCAACAGCACCAAAACACACTGTATTGATGTGAAGGATAGTTCCCCCCCCCTCAATTTCCAGGACTTTATCACCAATGAGCCCTTTTGTCAGAGGTCACGAGCAGCAACTTCCAATTCTGCGTTTATTTCTCCTTCATTTTGATGCCTGTATAAAATGCATGTTGCATTATGTGCATGCATTACTTCTCCATCATGTCTTTTTAGTTGTGAAGCACTTTCAAAGCCATTGTATTCCTCCGCAATAGGTCAGATTTATTCACTGTGACCATAAAAAAAAATTCTATTTTTCTTAACTTTGATTTTCTATGAATTATTTTACTACATAAATTAGTGAATGTACTTCCTTGATGCAAATAAATCTCACTTTAATAAACGCCCATCGAGAAATAAAACACTCACTGTATGACTGACCGCGCTGCTGGATCAATTTCTTTGCTGGATGTAGGGCTTGAATTAAAAACGCTCATATACATTCAGAGGCCAGTTTATTAGGTATAGCTGTTCAACTGCTTGTTTAGCCATGCAGACATAGTCCAGATGAACTGCTGGAGTTCAAACTGAGCATCAGAATGGGAAAGGAAGGAACACATGGTTGTTGGTGCTAGAGAGGTTGGTCTTAGAGTATTTTGGAAACTGAGCTGATAGGTAGGCAATAGTAACTCAAATTATCAGGATCTCTGAATGCACAACATATCAACCTTGAAGCAGATGGGCTACACAGCAGAAGACCAAAGCGGGTGTGATTGTTGTCAAGAAAAGAACAGGAAAGTGAGGCTACAATTTGCAAAGGTTAACCAAAACCGGACAATAGAAAATTTGAGCAATTTCCATTTTGCAATAATTGTGTGATTCTATCATGTCAATATGGACCAAAACCTCTGAAATATGATTCCAGCCCTTGGTTGGATCTATGCTGTGGAGAATTCAGGCATTTCTGAGGGTACAAGTGGGTCCAACCAATTATTAAAAGAACTGTACTTGGTGTATTCTCTTATATAAACATGGTATTAAAGCTTTCAGGTGCCAAGCTATAAAAAAATAAACAAGTGTTTAAAGTGTTGTATATTACCTACATATTTGCACATGCAATCAGAAAGAAGGATCTTTCTACAGTTTCACCCAAAGACTGGCTGCTGATTACAGTCATCTTTACTGCATATCACAGAGCAATCTATACAAGAACATCCAAAACTGACAATACAACTATACAATCAACTCAAAGCAAAACAACAAACTTAATCAAGTGATGGAATACAAACCATAAGACATCAGGAGAAATGGGTGACTCTTATATGAAGCTAAAGAAAATACACTGCCTCTTTCAGGTTTAAAGTAGTACTTGTGAAATCTACGTGTACTCTCATTCTACTGACCTGCACAAGCGACAAAAGTGAACATTCATGAGTCAGCCACACTGATAAAACCTCTGAAAGATGAAATACACAAGTCTATCACCCACTTTCTCTTAAATAAAGTGGGCATTTAAACAAAGTACATAAGTGGATTAAGGACAGCACTTGCTTCTGGCCAAACATCAAACTGCCCAGGAACAGCTCAACCAACACAAAGAGCCCAAAGCACTGACCCATCCCTTAAATTCCACACACTCAAAGCTGTTGCACGATGGGGGATCGACATGACATAAGGTCAGTTTTAATTTTGTGGCAGGCTCGTGTACACTGTAGCAGGTTAAACTTTTCAAAAAGTATTTCTTTCTTAAGGTGCAAAAACTCAGCAAATTAGTTAAATGCTTTTGTTTCATTTACAGAAACTCCCTACAGCATAAAAGTTGTCTTAACAATTTGAGGATAAGTACAGCTAGCTTGGGAAAGACAAAATTGGAGTGAGTCTTGTTACCTGATAAAAAGGTGAGGGTAATCACAATACACATACTGTACAAATATACAAGATTTGCAGAGCCATGGGAGCAGCTTCACTCTTCGCAATGTACGTACTGAACCTTGTTGATCCAAAAATATTTCCTCAACATGACTCAAATGACTGACGTGTTTAAGCACATGAGAACAGCACATTTACATCTAGGATGCTCAGTAGTCCCTCAAAACAACAGTATGGCTAAAGTGTAAATTTACACATATTCAGTCAAATACTGTGCTGATGGTGCCATTACAAAGATCCAACTGCTGAAGTATTAAGAAGCTGAGATTTTAGCTACAAAATATGTACAAGTAAAAATTGCATCCTCTAGTATAAATATTGGCTTGGATGTTTTCTTACACCAAAGTCCATCCAATTCTGCAGTGCTTAATCTTCCTGAAACACAATGTAAACCAAGGGGCACCCTAAGACGCAAGTGGAAACACACTCCCTTCCACATAAGGCAATAAACCATTATAGTTATTATTCATCGGGAGAAAACAAACATTTCTTCAATCACTCGTCTTGTTTCTGCAACACAGCTCATAAAAACAAACCCTGAATCTAACGCTAAACCTAAACCACTATTAAAATAATTATTTCCACTTATTGTAATAGCAGTAATCTTTAAAAAGATTACCTAAAATGACAAAAGTAACAACAGAAATTGTTCATAATTCAAAAATTTAAGTTCCTGATTGAAAAATATCCACAAGGTCATCTCACAGCATATGCACATTTCAGATATGAGTGAATTACTGCAACTGTAAACCTTTAAAGGGTCAGCCCAAAAGCTTTTTTTTTTTTTAAATCCCTGGCATCTTTAAATAAAAACTACATGGGTGTAAGTGGAATAAAACCACAGGGACTGAGCAATAAGGAGGTAGATGTTTGATCATTTTAAGACTACTATGAAAAGAAAAAACAAACCTCTGAAGTAGAAGTATGGCCTCCTCAAAGTGAAAAAAACAATGCATGAAAGCAGTGAATAAACTGAGGGAAAAGGTATTTGGTTAAGGAGGAGCTCTAAAGTCAAGTCCAAACATTAAGAACAACTTGACAGCTGTGGTCTGAAATCAAACTGCTTGTGCAGCTGTGGCAAACTTGTTTGCAAACATGTATTTTGCATCAGCTCGTGCATTTTGTCTGAGTGGGTCAGTCTCTACTCAGAGAATCGACGGCGCAGCAGTTTATGAAGCTTCATTCGGCTCTCTGTTGTCTGTTCTTGCAATTTTTCGTGGAGGTGCCGTGTTCTCCCCTTCTGTTGGTTCCTGTTCTCGCTTTTTTGCCGCATTCTGATGGAGTAAGGAAAAGGACATTAACCACTGAACTACAACATAATGGAGACGTGCCATCATAGACAATATAGTTAGCAGAAACTGCTTCCTCCATTAGATGAACGATATTTAAAAGCCTTTACCTTTTTATCCCACTGTTGATGTAGATATCGTAATAAGATGTTTGTCTTCTCTGTGACTATGACTGAGGAACAAAAACACAGAGATGATCTGATCATGAGAAACACAAAAGCACACAATGCAAAAAAGAGAATACAAATGTAGAAATGCATAATAGATGCAGCGTTTATGTAGAGTGACTTTTGAGGAAGATGCAGACATCAATGTTTAGGGAGTAAAAAGAATTGTGATATCAATGTATCAGCCAATAATCTCTAAATGCATAAACAGGTAGACAATATATTTGAGTCAAAGTGAACATGTTAAATGATGAGCCATCCCCAACCATATAGAGCATTTTATAAATGATTTTGCAAGCATACTTGACTGCACACATCTAATGCCTACTGCTGAGAGTAACAATATGAGACATCATATACAGTGATGTGAAAATGTATTTGCCAGCTTCCTGATTTCTTTGTTTGTTTTTTTCGCCATGTTTGTCAAACTTGCACGTTTCGGATCAAACTAATTTTAACGTTAGACAAAGACAACCTGACTAACTGCCTGTTTTTAAATGATGATTTCATTTTTTAAGGAAAAAAGCTATCCAAAAATACCTTTCCCTGTCTTGATGCATGCTCAATCATCCAGGTAAGTAGAGCCCAAAAGGTTGATTCTGTTCATCTGGATGTAGCATTTTCAATGAGAGAAACGTTTCGTCACTTGGATGAGTGACCTCCTCAGTCTCAGCTGTGTTCAGCAAGAACTACAATCAAATCTCTGTGACAATTGGTAATGAGTCTTTCACATTGCTGTGAACCTGCTGAGTAATTTGGCCCACTCTTCTTTGCAGAATTGTTTTAATTCAGCCATATTGGAGGGGTTTCTACCATGAACGACCTGGTTAACATCATGCCGGAGCATCTCAACTGGATTTACAGTAAGTCTAGACTTTGACTAGTCCACTCCAACACCTTTTAGTTTTTTTGAGCCTTTCAGAGGTGCACTGTATGTTTTGGATCATTGCCCTGCTCTATAAATCAAGTGAGCTTGAGCTTCAGAACATAAAGTTATACCAGGACATTATCCTTCAGTATTTTCTGGTATAGAGCAGAATTCATGTTCCATCTGTTACAGCAAGTTGTCCTGAAGCAGCAAAGCAACATCAGACCGTGACACTACCACAACCATGTTTGACTGCCGGTATGATGCTGTTTTTATTAAATGCTGTGTTAGTTTTATGCCACACGTAACGGGACACTCCTGGGAAGGTTCACTACTGGTTTCCCAATTTGTGGACAATGGCTGTCATTGTGGTTCACTGGAGTCCCAACCTTAGAAACAGCTTGTAACCAAAGACTGAAAGATGTCAGTGACTTTGTTTCTCTGCTGTTTCTTTAGATTGTTTTATAATGTGTTCCTTTTTGAGATTTTTATGCCTGCACAGGGGTTGGGGCAATTACTTTTTCCCACACAGGGCTAAGCAGGCTTCCCCTGACAAATGATCAGTTAATTAAGTGAATATTGTATTAACTCAGTCATTTACTTTGACTAATATTAAAATTAGTTCGATGATCTGAAACATGAAAGTGTGCCAAATATGCAAAAAGAAAGAATATGAAACCAAGAAGGGGCAAATGCTTTTTCACAACACTGTAAGGTGATACTGATAAGCCTATGACAAGTTGACATCAGTCCAAAGTTTAGCAATCTGTGAGAAAGAACGTAAAAGCCTAGAGGCCATTCACTGGGTGTGTACTTACTCTGCTCTGAGGGATAATCCCGAGTTGGAAGATACACAGATGGTCGACGGTTCTACCAAAAAAAAAAAAAGAAAGAAAGAAAGAAAGAATAAGACAGAGGTCCAAGTTAGTCTATTATTGTTTAAACTGCTTCAGACATCAATAGTGGCATCACAACATGACAAAACGTTCTTGAGCTCAGATTAGAAATGAAAACATCTGAGCATAATGAGAAACATAAGCATCACTCACTGAGGCTTTGCACACAGAGTCTGCATGGAACCTGCTGAAGTTGTTTTTGTTGTAGACGGGCAGTCCCTTCAAGAAATCTCTCTGTATACACAACAGAAAAATAAGACGATAAACACTTAAGTGTAACTGCAGCTGAGACACACATACACTACCAGATGGAAAACACACTCAGGCAGGTTGCACAAACAACTCCTGCCCTTCACATTTATCAAGGTGACGTATTTGTAATGTGACAGACTATTTACAGCACGTCGCACTTGCTACAACAAGCAAGTCGACGAATAGCAACTTAAACAGTTCAGGAATGAAGTATCTATGAACCAACCTTCTCCATTTCTGCCCGGGTCGTGCTCTTCGTCTCTTATTGAGCAAAGCACGGTGAGGGTGAAAACCAGCAAATGCTACTGCTTTAGCTAGCTAGCTACTAAGCCTTGTTTTTGTCGAAGCCAAGATACCGAACTGTTTACCCGTTCAACAGCGCCTGCTACAAAACATAAACTACGTTTGATATGATTGCATCGCGTCACTTCAGTCAGGTAGAAAACTACCACTCGTGTAACTACAAAAACGCCGAAATCTAGGGTCTTTTTGGCCGCCAACTTGCTACTATTTCAAAACTCCATATTTGTTGTTCGTCTCTTATGGGCGGTTATCTTCTGATACCCAGCCTATCTCATTGGCTGAGCAGTGACAGGTCTGGGAAAAGAGAGCAAGAGAAAGAAGCCGATTGGCCAGAAAGTCATGACGTAGAAGACAAAATCTCCAATACGACGCAGGTTATGGACGAGGGTGCTCATAAAAACAACACTACTTTCTCCACTACTCCTCACGCACGTACACCGCTTATCAGCTTCTGGGGATCTACACACAGAGGGAGGGAGTGTTAAAAACGCAGATTATACAGCAGCATAAAACAAGCTATAATAATAATAACATTAATTTAGTGATCGGACTGATTCCTGTCGTGTATATTCAGTTAAAATGAATTATAATAATGGTTTAAGAATATTGCAAGGGTGTTAAACTGTAAATGTTCAGCCCCCCCCCCCCCCCCCGCCAAAAAAAACAAAACAAAACAAAACCTACCTTTAAACTCATATTTGAAGAGCTACAACACAATTTAATTAATTGAAAACATTTAAAAATTTGAATTCATTTCAGTTTTCTTTTAAATAGCACTAATTCACAATAATAGTCGCCTCAATATGTTTTATATTAGAATATTAGAAAGAAACCCTAACAATCAGATATCCCCCTAAGAGCAAGCACTTCATGAAAGAACTTTTTTTAACAGGAAGAAACCTCTGACAGAACCAGGTTCAGGAAGGGCCAGCCATCTGCCAAGACCAGTTAAGTGTAAGTGGAAAAAGAAGAAAGCAGAGAGACAGGACAAAAGACACACTATGGGAGAAAGAGCCAGAGTTTAATAATAACTAATGATTAAATACAGTAGTGGACAATAAACATACAGAGACTCTGCTAACGGTTTTGTATATAATACCTGAAAGCATGCTCTGTTGGGTTGACTATTGAAGAATACCTCATCATTTTCTTTTGAGGAACTCTTTGGCTCATTATTCATTTGCACTGTGAAGCGCTGTCTTCATAAATGTATGAAGTGATTCTCAAAGTTTGGGCTGGGGACCCCTGGTGGGCTGCGAAGGTACTGCAGGTGGCCGGCAGCAATAACAGAAGTTCAGTTTGAAATTAAATCACTACGTACAGTTTCATATTTATATGTAGTATGAATTAAAATTGGTAATGGTACGTAGTTAGTTTGTGACATTAGTCATTACTCTGACCTTTACTGCTCTTGTATTGAAGTTTGTGTCCCAGTGGCAAGTGGGTCACACACTGGCCTTAACACTTTGCATGTGACTGGGTAGCATTAACAATTTATAACCAACAGTCTGTGTTGGTCATACATGTTTTTTGATTGCATTTTTCAAGGAAATAAATGACCTTCTCTTATATTTTGATTAGTGTAATGATTTAAGATTGGGTGGAGCCTAATGAGATTTTCTGGATTTTAAGTGATATGTAGCAATCTTGATTTTGAAAATGGTTGAACTTGTTTTAGTGTCACTCTGAGAAAAGATTTTTCTAATTTTAGAGATGTTGCACAAGTGAATGAAGGCAGTCCTATATATTTGTTTGATGTGCTCACTCTAGAACATATCGTGGTCAAAAATGAAACCACCTTGTTACTGGAGGCCAAGGTAATGCCATCCAGAGTAGGTATCTGATAACAGACCATATTAAATAAGATTTTTAGGGCCAAGTACAACAACCTCAGTTTTATCTGCATTTAGAAGCAGGAAATCAGAAATTATCTAGACCTTTATGTTTTTAACTAGAATTGTGTCATCTAGCTCTGTGGCTTAATAAAGCTGAATGTCATCTGTATACGAATGAAAATATGGACACTTTTGCAGTGTTTTCTAATAATGTTGCCTAGGGGAAGCATGTACAATGTAAAAAGTACTGGTCTATGTGGAACATGAATAACTTGTGTGTGAAGACTCCCCATTTACATAACCAAACTGTAGTCTATCAGTGCAGTGCAAAAGCAACCGTGTGTAGTAAAATCTCTCTGTAGTAAAATACTGAGGTCTAATAGGATATACATAGAAATAAAGTTCCCTGCCAGAGGCCAGAAAATCATTCATAACTTTCACTAGTGCTGTGCTATGATGCACTAAATCTTGGCACAAACTCTAACTCTGCAGCAAGCTCTTTAACAACTACTGTTTCAACAGGGGTCAGTGTGGTCTAAAAGACAGATTGATGGTTAAGGGGAAGACATTATTGAAGTAAACTAAGATATATCAGCAGTTTTAAAAGTTGCTGTTCTTATAAGCACATCTGTGGCATGGCTGTGACTATTTTTGTAATGGTTAAAATTTTTATTTATAAAGAAACTCATGAAGTCATTATTAGTTAAGGTTAAGGGAAATGTTTGATCAACAGAGCTTGGACTCTGTTCGCCTGAATGCAGTGCTGAAGAGAAACCTAGGGTTGTTCTTATTTGATAAATAGTAAGATGTCCTAGCTTTAGGGAGGACTTTTTTAGAGCAACAAACTATTTGTACAGCCTAAATGAAGACCTTCTAAATTAGATGCATGTTTGAGTTATACCAAGGAGTACAAAAGAGTAAAGTACTTCTGGTTCTGATTTGTTGGGATGTTCTGCTAGGTCTTGACGGCAGCCGCCTTCAGTTGCCACTTGTTTGTGGGACTCCCTGCCTTTGGTTTTGTATATAATACCTGAAAGCATGCTCTGTCGGGTTGACCATTAAAGAATACCTCACTGTTTCCTTTTAAGGAACTCTTGCCTTGCTTTTGCAGTATGCTTTGGGTCATTATTCATTTGCACTGTTAAGTGTTATCTGATCACTTTTTAGTGATTTTGTCATGGACTAATGACGAAACAGGGCCAATCTAGCCACAAAACTGATTGTTAGTCAATCGTCCAGTTAATTCTGAGCCTCTGTATCTGTCAAATATCAAAAAAGGAGCTTTTTGGTACAAACCAAAGGGCAATCTTTAGTTGTTTAGGCCACTGTTGTGATGTTTCATTTACTCAAGCACAATACACATTTATCAGATATGCAGAATAAATAATGTATGTACCTTTTCGTGTCAACTAAGGTAACACAGACTTATTTTTTTGCTGCAAATGAACTGATCATGCTCATGAGCACAGCGACTCTACAAAAGCCATTCTAAACAGGATAAAACCAACAGAAGTGAAGGTGGTATTTTCATTTTCAGGCCAACCATGCAGATTCTGGAAAATAATTTTATTATAGGAACATTATTTCTTTAAGTCAACAATGTTTACTCAAAAAGAAAAAGAAATTAACAAATGTGCTAACATGTAATGACTTTGACCAAAACCGTCCTAACCAGACTGGGTGGGCAAAACTACAGGGCACATTTACACTCTCAAGACCAATACTGTGGAACTGCCAGACCCCGACCACACACTCTTTGCTGCATGCTGAGCACCTTCAGCATATAAGAACCAAGGTCTGTTTCTTTAAAGTCAAATCTTCCATTGGGAACTTTCAGTGTGTGAGCGATTTCCGTCCTTTCAACATCCGCCGCAGAATCACTTCGATGCCTCCTTGTGAGCTGATCCTTTTGATCCAGCCGTGGGTTCTCTTTCGTTTGATGTTTTTGGGCTGATACTCGGTGCCTCTTTTCCGGGTCCGTACCTGCTGGTACTGCCAGGGAACCTGCTGAAACACTCCTGAACCTTCAGCTTGTGAAGAAAATGTATCTGAAGCTTTGAAAACCTGTGGTCTAGCAGCTGCTCCAGGACCAATCCAGCTGCTGAACGATCTAAGGTAAGAGGTTCCAGTTAGGTCTGCTGTGGGAATGCTGTTGGAAGAACAAAGATT